GGCATTGGGGACACCCCAGGCCACATTGAGGATGTGAGTGACTCCCAGTTGGCGAAGGGTGCCCAGATGATGGGCCACGTCTTGAGAGCCAACCAGGAGCCTCTCCTGTGCCACGCCCACTGAGAGATCTGGCTGGAGGTCGGGACAGAACCCCAGACCTCTGTTCCCTTGCTCCTCCACTGATCTTACCCCTGCCTCGTCCCGCTGACCCTCAACAAACTGTTGATAAAACACCAAGCAAAGTTTTACCAGCATATGCCAGTGAGTCTCCACCTTTTTGCCGTCTGCAGTGGTTATGCGTGTTTCTACACTCTTTAGAGTGTCTCTGTTGAACCCTTTCAACTGGGAAAAGATGCTAGACATGCTCCGTTCCCCTCAGCCCTTGCGCATGCGCACGAATTGGCGTCGTCAGCAGCTAGCTAGCTACGTACGTATACTCATTGCCGTCGTCAGCAGCTAGCATTCATTGGTAAACACCTCTACTACGAGTAAAATAATGGCAACGCCGAATGATACAGGAAAGCAGCGATTCGAGAAACCTTTGGATCAGGACTGTGCTCAAAATTTGGGTAGAAGTAAGTGGCTACGTAAGAGAAACCAGTGAATATCTGTGACGCGGTGCGTTTCATTGCAGATATTATAACAGCTTTGCGCAAGAAAGAGGAAGGGGAAAAAGTATTTCGAAACAACCCGGATTCGGGGTATAAATGTTCAGTGATATAGCTACTTGCGTGCTAGACAGCAGATTTTAACTATCATTATAGTTCTGAAGGCACGCCGTCTCCAACAGAAGAAACTAGCGGTGCCGGATCTCCTCCACAGCATTATAAGGTAGAATAATCTCTGTATAGTGACTGTATTTTTACCTAATGGTGTCTCATTCCAAGATTATTAATGATCCCATCCATGGCCACATTCAATTAGACAGCATCTTGATAAAAATCATTGACACCCCGCAATTCCAGAGGCTGAGGGACATAAAACAATTAGGTAATGTTACTCGGAGTCTGTATATAGCTATTGAGTCTATATATACACATCACAACGTTATATATACACTGTACACTACATTATAGGGTGTACATATAGAGTATTCCCTGGAGCCTCTCATAATCGGTTTGAACACGCCATTGGGTAAGTATGCAAGACAGCTCCTTACATTTTTTTATAATTATACACTTGTTACTGTACAGGGCCTGTCACTTGGCTGGAGAATTGGTTGAAGTTATTAGGAATTTACAAACAGACGTCTATACTGGGAATATGCCAATCGTTACGCCAGTTGATGCTCTGTGTGTAAAAATTGCTGCCCTTTGCTACAACTTGGGTGAGTCAGCATAAGACTACATCTAAAATCATGGCATTATTGCATGAGAGCGTCAGTAGTGAAACAGGGCATTTCTGCAGGGTATGGACCTTTCTCTCACGTGTTTGACGAGATGTGTGCAGAGAAAATTTCAGGGTGGAGCGTAAGTCAATCATCAGACGATTAATAACTTTCAGTCAGGGGTTAATAGGTTGAAAAGGCATCTGTTGTGATGTTTCAATGCATTATAAATGCCAATGAAAACGAGAAACTAAGGAGGTCTCTGAGGCAGTTGGAGGTCAATGATGCTGAACTAAGATTTATTGAAGCACTTATAGACCAAAGTCTTCCCTAACCCAAGAGATGGTATGAAACAGACGGGCCAATATTTTAATTGTGTAGAGTGAAATGTTCCACTTGCAGGAAAAGAAGGCGTTTCTGAGGAAGGTAGTTATCCATTTTCTTACCTGTTAACTGTGTGCCAAAGCTAGTCATAAGATTGAAATCTAGGTGGTGAGAGACCCAGAGACCAGTATTGATGCTGTAACAATGGACTCAATTGCTCGGGACAGCTATCTTCTTAACATTCCCAGCAGCTTCGACCACAAGTAACATTATACGTATAGCCCAACTAAACATTATTCGCTAACCCTACAGACGATTAGTGAAGTTTGTTAGATTAAACAAGAAAAGAGGCAGTGAGGAGTATGTTCTTTGCTACCGGGAAATAGTAGGTTTATATAATTGCTACGTCTGAAATTAACTTTGTGTTACACTGTTCAGGAAGCTCATGATCTGTACTCCATGTTTCTGAGTCGCCTCAGCCTCCAGACAAAAGCATACAAACACAAGACAGTGCAGCTCTTGGAATGGATGTAAAATAACACGTACTTAGGCTTATGCGGACATAGACTCATAATGACAATTCTATAGGTTGAGGCAAGCACTTGAGAAAGCAGATGAAGTTCTAGAGTTGACTGAAACAGCACGTGGGTTGCTCAGTGACGAGGAGGCTGTGAGGAAGGCAGCAGCCGTGAAGTATACACGACTCACTGACTATGTGATGGATCGAATCATGGAGAGCGGGGAGCCATCTTTGAGAGACTGTATGCATCGATCTTAACTACCACTTTCATAAGATGTATATACTTGTATTATATTGAATGCAGTCAAAGGAAAATGTGGGCAGACGTTCAACACAGAAAGCTGTTGAAGTTTATCGGTACAGTTCAGACTGTCTCAACTGGACAAGATCCAGATACCCAAACCTTTCAGTCAAAACTGAGGCAGCTACAGAGTGATGCTAGCCAGAGAGATTCTCTGAAAAGCTGCGAAATTGGTGAGTGATATGTGACCACAATCTGTATCAATCTCTTTGCTCAGATCGTCAAGTACAACTTTGGAACCGAGCTGTGTGAGAATCCAGTTGAACACGTATTTTTCTACTACAAAAGTGCCCCGTCTGTCCCAGTGACACTCAAAAGAGAGAAAGTAAGCCTTGAATCGGCTCTCTAAGACTCTTCATAATGAACTGAAGAATCCTTGATTGTTCAAGGTGTCCAAGATACTCCCGGCTGTATTTACCGAGGTTGCTCTTCGCGTGTATCATAAACGTTCACATGATCTGTCTACCTATACCAGCGTTGCCAGGTACTGATTATTTTAATGGAAGGTTACTGAACTATTCACATAATATTCCCACAGGGAGTTTCAAGGACTGATTGCAGAGAAGTATTCACAAGTAATGTTGTATCGATAGTAGTTTGTTAATATTGCATTGTTGTGGGTGTGTATATACAGAGCCTGAAATGGACGGGGGTTCTCCCACAAAGTTCACCGCCAACTCCGGAGCCAACTGCCAGCCATGCAGGTATATGTCAGCAACTATACTGTGCAAATAATTCTATATAGCAAATACTATGAACTGAGTCTTTTGTTCTACAGGAAGCCCTTAAAACTGAAGTGTGATAACTTTTTGGATGTTTGTGAACATTTTTATCCCATTGTATAGCTAAGTATAATAATCACTACAAAATCACTTTAAAGGGTGATGATGATATATAAGAGTGTAACTACAAAACTTATTATCATGAAATCATGTCTTTGGTGAAAAATTAAAAAATGATGAGTTCTGCTGTTCAAAAGAGGTTTCTGACGACTCTTGAATTGACTGGAGTACGGGAGGTTTCTGGGTTCACAGGGGCAATGTATGGGGAGGTAGTCAGAGTGGTGTCTCCAGCACTGTTTGGAGTGTCATCTAGAGCTCCACTACCCTGGAAGTATATACATGTAGTAGTATATAAAAACTCTTGGGATGGAGTGAGTTGTTTGAAGTGTACAAACAGTCGTACCGTGGGAGTAACGCACTTCTGCTTACTGCACCACTTTGTAAAATACCTGAGCAGAGCAAAGCATATGTAACAGATCAGCATTATAACTGTTGTGAAGATATATTATAGAGTGATATGGGGGGTGATCAGTGTCAAAATGATGTTTTACAACTTATGTGACATACATAGAGTGCATCATGTAGCAGCAGTCCTTTGGTTTTGGGTGTATTATGTACCATAGATGATGTAAGATGATGTAAAATACACTACATAAGATAGAACCAGCAACACCAATGGAAATTCACTACATCATCTTTGGAAAGCACTGCTACATAATGCACTCTATGTCACATAAGTTATAAAACATCATTTTGACACTGATCACCCCCATAGAGTGAAAGGCAGTGAGAGAGAAGTATGATAATATACTGACTTCCACGCTGCATCGAGGCTGGGCTTGTCATCTTTCCGACAGAAGACTCGTATCTGCTGCTCCCTAAACGTGGGAGGCAGCATCTGGGACACCTGAAATAGAAATTACATGCTTACTTAGGCACAGTATATATAGTGATGGGCATTTCAGATGGTTGTCATACCTGGTCTTTGCGAACTCTCTTGGCCTTGTGTGGAGTCTCTTTCGTGTAGAAGCGAACTTGATCAATTGGGTTCTCTGCCTTCTTACCATAGTCGAATGTAGCAATCTGCAAAAAACCAAAACCAATATCAACTGAACTAGACATTAGCACAGCTCCATTACCAGCACTATTATGTCGTCTTTAGAGAGCGGTGGGAGACCGTCCAACTCAGGATCATCTGGACTGAGGCTGTCTATCATCTCGGAGCATATTCTTGCCCCGTCTGCCTATATATAAACACAAGTCAAAACAGTAAAATGAAGATCAAGTTCTGGCATTTGTAACTCACTTTAGTCAAAGGTTTCTGTGCTTGTGTTTGTCCCACATGTTTGTACAGTCTCCGCTTCTCCACTTTTGCCAGAATGTCTTTGGCCTGGATTTAACACAGTCAATTAGAGAGGCCATGGCTACTATGCAATACTTGTTGGAGGTTTGGATCATCGGAGAGCTGTATCTGCTGCAGCACTTGGTCAGTGAGTCTGGTGAAAGCAACAGGGTCCTTAATAGCTTCTGACATTTTTACTTTCCTGAAAGAGAATAACACAATCCTCAAACTAAAATGAAAACATCAACATACTCTCCATCCTTCCCAGGAATCAAGAGATGATCATTTGCAGCCACCAGAGCTTCTGTTATCCTACAGTAATAGGTTACACAAAGTGCTGTATAATGCTCCATGGCATATAGCTGGTTAGTCATTACATTTCTTCAATGATGTTGGAGGTCTTGTGCTGGTAGGCTCTCCTGTGCAGCATGCTGCGAGTGTGGAACATCTCATAGATATTGGTCACCTCCTGTTCAAGTTGAACCATGTAACGGATTATATGTAGCAATAGGCTCTCTTACCTTGTCTCTGGTGCAGATTTGCAGTCTTCCATCGACCTCAATGACCCTCACAAATGTCATGTATCTCCTGCAAAATATATAATAGTAGCAGACCTCACATCACACTTGGCTCTGTAGACAAGCATGTCTCAACAACTTGGCAGCGAGGTAGAAAGGCAAGGCAAACAAGTCAAGTACATGGTTGTACTCACCGCAGGTCAAAGCTGTTAGGAATTCCAAGATGGTGGCAGTCCCGGGCAAAGTAGTCCCACTTGTCCACATCTATTCCTGTCCCCTTGTTGGCTATGATCTGCAGCACACAACATTACAAAATCAAGTGAACCCATGCTTAGCTCTTCAAAACACACAGTGTATATATCTCTGTTGATATATGTACCTCATAGAGAAAGCTCTTCGACTCTGGTCTTCCTTTGTATTCCCAGTCCTATACAACAGTGGCATACATACAATATCCATGGAATAGGGTCTATCACTCATATACATGTCGTGTGGGAGTCGTGGGAGTTTCATCTGCATTCTTGGCAGGTCCTACAATCAGCTCCTCAATGAAGATCACGTCATTCTCGTCAAGACGATAGTCTTTCTCCATCACCTTCATCAGATCATTCTCCTTTATGAGGTGACGCAGCATCCTCACTGAGGCATCTTCATGCTGTGTAACAAGTACACTAGCCACTTGGACTATGTTTATCAAAAGATGAAGAGTCTTATTTACCTTCCATTTGCTTTCAGGAAACACCTTTGGAATGAACTTTCCATCAAACAGATGAGAAAACGGACCATGTCCTGCAGTGATAAAAGGACAGGTGTGTCCATACATTACAAACATGGGGAAACTGCTGCAAAGGGACACCCATGAAACAAGGACACTATTGACAAAAGGACATCATTTCTCAAAGCTATTCCCTGTAATACGGACACCTTAATAACAAAACATGCCCTCTTCTGTTCAATTAGTTCACAGATTAGAGGGGTTCCACTGCGACTGACCGAGGTCATGGCAGAGTCCAGCCAGCTTCACACAGAGAACATCTGCATCGGTGATGTCCAGTTCTCTCTGCTTCCTCTGAAGGGTCTCTGCCAATTCTCCTGCCAGATAGCCAACTCTGTGAATGGGATGGGTTTTTTCAGAATTAGCGAGCAGATGTTGTTCTTATAGTAGGATAATAAATTCTAACCAGTTATGGCGATGAAGTAAGGAACTTACCCAATGGAGTGTTCAAACCGATTGTGTGATGCCCCAGGGAATACATAGTAACAGCCACCTACAAAATATTTTCACAATTACTTTATTAATAGGTTGTAAAGTAACCAGGTTCCCACCGAGTTGCTTGATATAGCGAAGTCTCTGGAACTGAGGAGTGTCTATGAACTTTACCATCAGTGGATGAAGTTCAATGTGACCATGAACTGGGTCGTTGAATACCTGGTCATTATTGCCACCCCTCTAACTTGTCTCTCCCTAGTTTGGTATGGACTGTTGATAATCAGGAGAGGACTGTACCAGGGTGCCTTGTTCAAGTTCAAGCTCCTAATCCCCGCCAACTACCCTGATGGTGGCTGTCCAGTGAGAACCATCCAATTCTAGAGAATGTCTTACATTATGTAGTTGTGTGTAAGTTCACAGGAGCTGGATTTCCAAACGGGCGTCTACCATCCAAAGATAGAGTATGATACTGGAGAACTAGACACCAAGAAAGAGTTCCCACGGTGGAGGTGAAGTAAAAATCTTTCCATCTTATATAGCATAAGTAAAAGGCATTCCTGCCGTAAGCCAATTGTGAGGTTTATACCAGTGTTTGTTTCATCGCAGGAGGGACATAAACCATTTATACCAACTGCTGGCCTATGCCAGGAAAATATTCCATCAGATAGACACCACCAACCCTGTCAACGTTGAGGCTGGAAAACTGTAAGATAAACATGCACACCAGCTACATACATTTATAAGCACTATATATGAGTGTGTACACAAGTTGTTCAATATGCAGGTACAAAACGGACATCAACAGCTACAAACAGAAAGTGAAGGAGAGCATAGAGAATTGCAAACAAGCCACAATTAACCCTGGCCCTTCAGATCCACACAGTGTCAAGTAAGACTCCACAGCTCTTTATTTAAAAAAAAGTTTTTGTTCTTTTTTTCTTCCTTCAGGATCGGAGAATGGAGTATTGATGTCATGAAAAAAGCAAGAACAGAAATATTTGAACCAGAGGTGTGCCTTGGCTAGCATGATTGTGTGTGTGAAACACAAGTTCTGAAAGTTGCGTTCTGTCTGGCAGTGTCTGCAAGATGAGAGCATGGGAAAGAACGCACAGACTTGTGGGCTGTCTTGGGTCAAACCTGGAACTATCACGCCATTTAGCAAAGACGATTCATAGTACACTGCATTCACCAATTTTAAAATTTTAAAGTCATGATCATGATTTTATATGCATTGCCAACAAGGTATTTAAGTCTACCACCTGGGCTGAATCTTTGGCCAGTTGTGTGACACTCTGTCTGAGTGCCACTACTTGTAGTAACACCCTAGGCCCTGTGGACCGTGTCGGTGATGATAAAGGAAATCTCTATTATGTAGCACAATGGGGTGAGAGGTCTATTCACAACACTCTACAATGGCTACTTCATTTATGGGTCTAAATTGTGGAAAAACAATGTCCGAATGAAGAGTGCTTGCAAGCAGGGGCTCCTCTTATATTATTCATAACCGTGGGCAAGCGAAAACGCCCCCGCGCAGCCTAATCGCCTTTGCGAGTGCGACGTGCACTAGTGGAGACTACGAAACCATACGAAGCATCGCTCGCATCGCTGCTACTGCTCGTTTTCAAAGTGAATAATGGGTGACTGCAGTGATAAGGTTGGTCTGTGAGTAACCAGTAGATATAAAATCTGCATGCTTTAGCTAGAAACCGATAGCTACGAACAATTCTTGGAGCATCATTTATAAACCAGGTATTCAACGACCCAGTTCATGGTCACATTGAACTTCATCCACTGATGGTAAGGTTTATAGACACTCCTCAGTTCCAGAGACTTCGCTATATCAAGCAACTCGGTAAAAATAGAGCTGATTTTCATGCTTTTGTCTTAGTTTAGCTAAACATTATACAGGTGGTGTTTATTATGTATTCCCTGGAGCTTCACACAACCGTTTTGAGCATTCTATTGGGTGAGTCGGTGTATAGCTAGTACTATTGTGATATAGCTAGTACTATGTATAGGTTAGATGCTGAGCCGCGGGAACTACGCGATTTAGTGAGCCGAGGAGCCCTGAGCTGTCGGCGTCCCGAGCGCAGCGAGGGCGCTACTAAGGGCTCCGAGGCTCACTAAATCGCGTAGTTTCCCAAGGCGACGCGTCTAACCGGCTTAGACTACAGCGCAAGTCCGTCCCGCTGCAGTGTCCGTTGTAGGCGTTGCTGCCTTCGGGATCGCGCCGGCCAGCCGTTTGTACGCGTTTTTCCCTGTACGCTTTCTCTAGCGTCTTCCTAGCTCTCTAGTAGTCATGCGCTGCTGCTAGAAGAGCCTGTTTCTGGTTTCTTCGTGGGAAGAACTGCTCCAGAAGCTCGGTTCACCGCCCGCGCGCGTGGCGTCTTTTCGAATTGAAGGCGTGGTTGCCGGGGCTACGAATAGATACCGCGGAAGAGGTCACTAACAAAAATAGTCACCGCTAAACTCGCAATCTGATTGGTCAATTGCGTGTTACCGTAGTCTAATGTGATATAGCTAGTACTATTGTGATATAGCTAGTACTATTGTGATATTTATTGCCTGCATGTCCCATAGAGTGGGTTATCTTGCCGGACAAATGGTTGAAAGTCTGAAAAGTAAACAACCAGAACTGCAAATCGATGATAAAGATGTACTGTGTGTCAAATTGGCCGGCCTTTGTCATGATCTTGGTTAGTCTTATTAGTTAATACATTTTATGATTTGATTCTGCCTGTAATTAAATCCTAATTTCAGGGCATGGTCCATTTTCACATCTCTTTCAAAAGGTGGTAAAAGAGGTGGTAGAAGATGATTGGAGCGTAAGTTTCTCGTTAGTTTAATTCTTATATTATAAGCTACTGTATTGGCAACACAGCATGAGGAGCAGTCCATCAAAATGTTTGATCATCTCATTGCGGATAATAAACTAAAAGAACATATGGAAGATAATCATCTAGGAGAAGAGGATGAGAAGTTCATAAAGGCATTGATTCGAGGGCTTAAAACTGGCAAAGTTGCAGTGAGTTACTAACAATGCTGATTGGTAAGGGCTACCTATAGCAATGTTACAGACTGTCGAAGAGCATGGAAGAGACCAGTCAAAGAGATTTCTCTTTGAGGTACATATGTACTATAATTACAAAGAGAGAGATTGTCACTTGGGCTGATGCAGATTGTGGCCAACAAGAGAAATGAAATAGACGTTGATAAATTTGACTACTTTGCTCGAGATTGTCACCATCTTGGTATACCAAACAGTTTGACTTCAGGTATAAAACTGTATATGTAGTTGTGAAGCCTATAATGTATACCTATATTATTTACAATAGGCGATACATGAAATTTGTTCGCGTCATTAAAGATGATGGAGTACTGCAAATATGTGTTAGAGACAAGGTATATAAACTGTGATTCTGGTGACATTATTCTCTTGAATAACTATGAACAGGAAGTGTACAATGTGTATGAGATGTTCCACGCGCGCCACATGCTTCACCTAAGAGCCTACAAGCACAAAACCTGCAGTATCGTAGAAGAAATGTGAGGACAGTCGCTGTGAGCTTTCTTGTATGAAACCATGAAAACTGATTTTATCCTTATTCTAGGATAAAAGAAGCCTTGATTAAAGCTAAAGATCACTTTAGAGTTCCAGGAACAGCAGGGTATAGCTATTGCCTCTCTGTATCTTATTCTCTTAGTTTACTTCTACCTATCACAGGGTGGAATTATTTGCAGCAGCTAGTGCTCCAGAAGCATACACCCTACTTACAGACCAAGTCTTCCAACAAATAATGTCGTTTCATGACCCAGACGGCAAATTGAAAGAGGTATGTAGATGAACAGGTCTATTGCCTACCGACTGGCTGTATTATCTACTGACCTAAACACCTTACAGGCTAAGGCTATTCTGAAAAGAGTTGAGAAACGACAGCTGTACAAATTTGTTGACCAGACACTAAAAAAAACTGAAGATAATGTATATTTTAAACATACAGTATCTGCATTTACTTCTCACTGCATGCTTATATATAGTTTGACAGTGAAACGTTCTGTACAAAAATGCCTCCAGATTCAGACCTCACTAAAGATGACATCATTTTAATGGTAAATATTTAGCACATAGCTACACAGTTACAGTGTATTCTTTAAAACCTCAGCGTGTGACATTTGACTACGAAATGAAAGAACAAAATCCAATGGACTACGTGAAATTTTTCAAAAAAGATAACATAAATGTAGCAGTAACCATTCACAGAGAGCAGGTGTGTGTATTATGTACAGTCATTTTGTATACACCACTTCATTATGACTGCACGCTATAGCTGTCAAAGATACTGCCGACAACATTTAGAGATGTACAGATCCGGGTGATTTGTAGGAAAGATGACGATGCCAGTATCAAAGCAGCTCGGAGGTCAGTATTTTTTTCCATAACATGAGTAAGTGTATCACATTATTTTTTGGTCAGATGTTTTTCGGCTTGGTTTGGTGATGGGGACACGACCACTGAAGTAAGTTTTTTTTATGGCTGCAATAGAGCGTAGGACATTATTTTGTATGTGCATTGGTGTGTGATGTTATAATTTTTTTGTTAGCAGCAACATCTGGATACGGCCCAAACTTAAAGTAAATGCAAGAAACACATATATAGATTGTAGAAGTAAACTTTAGCTACTAGTGTAATAGTATTATTATGCACCTGTGTAAAGAATATATAACCAGTTTCTGAAACCTCATCTCTTTAGATTGTCCTCAACAAACTGACGCACTATTTCACATATATTGCATTGAATATAAGTATCACGACCATGATTTCCTCAACACATTCATATATATAGTGCCACCTGGGCTGAATGTTAGGTCTGCTTTGCTTGAGTCTTTCAGAGGCCATTTCTCTGACACTCTGCCTATATACGCCGCTACTTTAAGGACCATGTTGGACCAGTGTAGAGTGTGACACCATGAACATAATGGTCCACATGCTCATGAGCACTGAAGTGCAAACCCTCGGCGCGCTGTGACGCGCGCGCACGTAAGTAAACGCATGCGCCGTATATACCACTAATTGATGGACTGGGGTCTCTTGCCAGCTCGCGCAGAGGCTGACGCGCTACTAGATAGCATGCGAGAGGCGATACACGCCCTGCGTTGCATCTTCTGGTGCCTCCGAGGTACGCAGAGCACAAGGACCGATCATGCCGTAGTAAGCCGTTGTGTATTATGCATATTGGCTTTTTCCCGCTCTAGCTTTGCAACGGAGCGTTTTCAGAGAAAACCGTTCGAAATTTCTGACCTTCATTGCCCGTTCAGTAGGTGGTATCCTTTGTGAGACGAAAGAACATTCGAGAAGTGAGATGAAGAGTAACAGACACACAGACACACAGACACACAGACAAACCCAACTACTGTAACCCTCGCTGCGCATGCGCGCCGAGGGTTAATCACTGCAAATTTCACAAAGGCCTATATACCTGGCTGTCGGTTTGTTTGAGCAAGGTATGGTTGAGCTACGGCAAAACTATTCAGCAGCAAAGTAACATAGAACCTTCAGCTACAATTATGACAACTTTCAAGCAGATACAATGCCCTAAAAGAACTGCACGTGTGCATGCGAGGATGGGGAAGCGTAGAGAGCTTGGTCAAGCCTGGAACATTCAGCAATGATTATCAGCAAAATATTTTGAACGTAAAATCACAAGGATGATTTTACACACATATAGCTAAAAGGAGAATGATATTCATTCTTGTATTTTGAGGTGCTCCTGAAAGTCTGCCAGTTGGCTCATGAATCCAGGGTTGGGTTGAATGGCTGGTCTACTCTTCTTCAGTCTGTCGTATGCCAGTTCCAGGGAGACCCTCTCGGTTTCTATCACATAGGCCAGAGCCACCGTGGAGGATCGAGAGACCCCTGCATTACTGTAGGGACCAGTGGGCAGCAGTGGACATAGTGGCAATGGCACTGTAGAAAAACCTGTCAGTAATGTCAGTAACACAGGTAAGCTGTGTAATGTAGTGGTAATGTTGGTAAGCTAGGTAATGTGGTAGGATTATAAGCACAGTTGGTTTACCAGTGCACTAGTACAGTTCCGCCGTCAGAGTGAGCCTGTTTGATAAACTGCCGACACCTCGAGTAGTGACTTGTGAGGAGTTCAGACGGTTCATCATACATTGGTACAGTCAGATACGTGAAATCCTGCACGAAGAGAGAGGTATGCAGCAGGTGAGGACTATCATGTGTATTTGTTGGATATCCCTAGGCAACCGACATGTATGAAGCTAGGTACTGGGGCATTGTATCAGCCTATACAATCCTACATTGTGCAAGCAGGGTTCATACATGTCATTTGCCTAGGGATATCCAACAAATCTGTTGCAGTACCCAGACAGGACAGCATTCGCCCTTACAGGGCTCATGCTGTCCTGTCTGGGCACTGCAACATATACATACAGAGCATACAGAGCTAATACTACAGGGGTGCACTGCTAAAGCCGTGAGTCAACAGCTCACTCAGTTTGTTGAAGGAAATGTAAACAGTTGTACAGTTGAAGCAACAGCTTGGTTGAGAGGAAACAGCTGACACTAGCAGAATGGAACAAACAGTTGATCACACACACACTCTACTTGATTCCATGCGGGAAATTTAACTACTCACATTCGCTCGCTAAAGATGTGTTGCTAGTGTACATCTCACATCAGGGAAGGCATTGGGGACACCCCAGGCCACATTGAGGACGTGAGTGACTCCCAGGTGGCGAAGGGTGCCCAGATGATGGGCCACGTCTTGAGAGCCAACCAGGAGCCTCTCCTGTGCCACGCCCACTGAGAGATCTGGCTGGAGGTCGGGACAGAACCCCAGACCTCTGTTCCCTTGCTCCTCCACTGATCTTACCCCTGCCTCGTCCCGCTGACCCTCAACAAACTGTTGATAAAAACACCAATCACAGTTTTACCAGCATATGCCAGTGAGTCTCCACCTTTTTGCCGTCTGCAGTGGTTATGCGTGTTTCTACACTCTTTAGAGTGTCTCTGTTGAACCCTTTCAACTGGGAAAAGATGCTAGACATGATCCGTTCCCTTCAGTCATTGCGCATGCGCACGAATTGCCGTCGTCAGCAGCTAGCTAGCTAGCTACGTACGTATAATTATAGCTACTCATTGCCGTCGTCAGCAGCTAGCATTCATTGGTAAACACCTCTACTACGACTTCTTTGTAAAAAAACATTTTTAGTTCTTTTTTTCTTCCTTCAGGATTGGAGAATGGAGTATTGATGTCATGAAAAAAGCAAGAACAGAAATATTTGAACCAGAGGTGTGCCTTGGCTAGCATCATTGTGTGTGAAACGCAAGTTCTGAAAGTTGCGTTCTGTCTGACAGTGTCTGCAAGATGAGAGCATGGGAAAGAACGCACAGACTTGTGGGCTGTCTTGGGTCAAACCTGGAACTATCACGCCATTTAGCAAAGATGATTCATAGTACACTGCATGCACCAATTTAAAAACTTTAAAGTCATGATCATGATTTTAATACATCTTTATGCATTGCCAAGAAGATATTTAAGTCTGCCACCTGGGCTGAATCTTTGGCCAGTGTGTGTGACACTCAGCCCAGGTGGCACTATATGAATGTGTTGAGGAATCATGGTTGTTATTTTTATATTCAAAATTAGTGTATATACCGGATGTGCAATATACGTACAATAGTGCGTCAGTTCGTTGATCTAAGTTCATAGTACACTAGCATGCACCATTTTAAAATTTTATAAGTCATGATCATGATTTTAATACATCTTGCATTGTAAAAGATATTTAAGTCTACCACCTGGCTGAATCTTGGCCAGTTGTTGTGACACTACTGTCTGAGTGCCACTACTTGCAGTAACACCATGTGGGTGAATGGACCGTGTCGGCAGTGTGTATTATTAAAGTGTCATGAGCAGTGGACTAAAATACATTATGTTCATGGTGTCACGCTCTAAACTGTCATTACACTGGTCCGACATGGTCCTTGAACTGACTCAAGTAGCGGCATATAGGCAGGAGTGTTGAAGAAGAATAATATAATATACTCGCCATAGCACTAGGGCCATAGACCATGCACCAGCGCAATGGGCGGAACCGTTAACAACGAACATACCCATATGAACATGAGGTGTCAGAGAAATGGCCTCTGAAAGACTCAAGCAAAGCGACCTAACATCAGCCCAGGTGGGCACTATATGAATGTGTTGAGGAAATCATGGTCGTGATATTATATTCAATTGGTGTACCGCCGTTTGCACATACGTACAATAGTCAGTTTATTGAGTTACATCTACAAAGAGATGATGTTCAACAACAGGGAACACAAGGGAGGGAGCCACATCTTTCATCATCCTACACTCTCTCTCCTCCTCCTACTGGTCAACTTTGCTGCGCGCGTAGTGTATCCGCGGGTTTTCTCACTCGATGCCCTCGACGGTACTCGCTACCTACGTTTCTTCTTTTTACACTCTCATGGCCTTATCTCTTCCCCTCTTCCCGCCGTATTTCTACTCTTCACAGTTTGCGCATTCCTTTCAGATGTGCTCTGATCTCCCGCTGTTGCTGCTCAACCCGCACATCTCCAGCCTTTGCCTATTTTTTAAAGCCTACGCTATCTTGCAGCATAGCCATAACAACTGACTCAGGCTCTGTGGCTCACCAAAGAAAGAGCCCGAAACCACTGACAGAGAGTAATGTGATACACGATACACTACTCCTAGCCCACTGCCAACCATGCAGTATGATACCGATATGTGCCACATTCGAGCAATACTATGGAAACTGAGTCCGTGTGTCTAAACAGGAAGCCCTGCTGACAACTGAGTGTGATCACTTGTTGGCTTGTTGTGATGTGTGAAAAAGATTATCCTAATTTTATAGCTACGTAATAATATCACTACAAAATCACTTTACAGGACGTGATGATATATAAAAATCTCTCTACTAAAACACTTATCAACTAGTATATGGAGTCCATGCTTCGGAGAAATATAAAGATCAGTCTCTCTGCCGTTCAAAGAGAGGTTCTGGCGACGCTGGAATTGACTGTATGACGGCGGTCAGAGTGTGTCTCCACTATTTGGAGTGCCATCTAGAGCTTCATACCCTGCCACTCTATACAAGTACAGTAAGTCGTACAACTCTTGGATGGAGCGAGTGGACAAACAGTCGTACCGTGGGAGTAGTCGTAGTCGAGCTGTCAGCACCACTTTTCAAAATACCTGAAACACAACACAAAGCAGAATAATATGTGACAGATCAGCACTACGTACATATAGATAACAACAAGCCATTATAGTGAAGAGCAGAGTGAAAGTCTACTTAGCATGGTGCAAAAGTTATGTTCACTGACTTCAAGCGGCATCGAGGCTGGGCTTGTCATCTTTACCGACAGGACGACTCGTATCTGCTGCTCCCTAACATATGGAGCAGCATCTGGGACCCCTGAATATGAATAGAATCACGCATGCTTCTTGAGGCACAGTATAATAGTGATGGCATTCAGATGTTGTCCTACCTGGCTTTGCAAACTTCCTCGGTCCTTGTCTGGATCGCTCTTTTGTGTAGAAGCGAGCTTGATCAATGGTTCTCTGCCTCTTCTTTACCATAGAGTCAAATGTAAGCAATCTGCAAAACCATATCAACTGAACAAGACCTACGCATAGCTCCATGTACCAGCCACTATTATGATGTCCGCTTCAGAGAGTGATGGAGCCGGCTCACGCTCTAGATCATCTGGACTGAGGCGTTTATCATCTCGGAGCATATCCTTGCCCCGTCTGCTCTAAACCACAAGGCCAAAACAGAAACTGATAGTTGAACTCACTTGCAGTCAGTCAAAGGTTTCTTCTTTGCTGTCTGTGTCAGTCCCACATGTTGTCCAGTCTCCGCGTCTCCACTTTGCCAGAAATGTCCTTGCCTGGATGTAACACAGTCAATTAGAGAGGCCATGGCTACTATGCTACTTGTTGGAGGTTGTGTGATCACAATCGGAGAGCTGTATCGATCTGCTGCAGCACTTGAGTCAGTGAGTCTGTGTGAAAGCAACAGGGTCTTAATAGCTCTGACATTTTACTTCCTGAAAGAGAATAAACACAATCGTCAAACGAAAACTGAAAACATGCCACATACTCGCCATCCTTCCCAGGACTCAGAGATGCTCATCTGCAGCACCAGAGCTTCTGTATCCTACAGTAGAGTTACACAAAGTGCTGTATAATGCTCCATGGCATGATAGCTGTAAGTCAGCTACATTTCGTCAATGATGTTGATGGTCTGTGCTGGTAGCTTCCTGTGCAGCATGGCTGCGAGTGTGGACATCGTCATAGATATGTTCACCCTAAGCCCCTCTGTTCAAGTTGAACCATGTAAGCAGATATATGTAGCAATAGACTCTCTTACCTGTTTCTGGTGCAGAAGATGCCTTCTCGACAGACCGAAGAGAATTCATAGTGGGACCACGCGACCCAGACTGCTCCTCATAGGTCAGATCGACGTCATGACCCTCACAAATGTCATGTATCTCTGAATATAGATAGTAGCAGACCTCACATCACACGTGGCCTTGTAAACAAGCTGGTTGTACTCACCACAGGTCAAAAAAGCGTTGGGAATTCCAGATGGTGCAGGCCGGCAAAGTAGTCCCACTTGTCCACGTCTACTCCTGTCCCCTGTGGCTACGAGCTGCAGCACACAACCTTACAAAAGCAAGTGAACCCATGCTTAGCTCTGCAGTGTATTATGTCTTTGTTGATATATGTACCTCATAGAGAAGCTCTTCGACACTGGTCTCCTTTGTATTCCAGTCCTATACAACAGTGGCATCACTACAATATCCATGGAATAGGTCTCTCACTCACTATACATGTCGTAGTGGGAGTTGTGGCCGAGTTTCATTTGTTTCATCTTGCCAGGTCCGTACCATCAGCTCCCTCGATGAAGATCACGTCATTCTCGTCCAGACGATAGTCTTTCTCTCCATCACCTTCATCGATCACCATTCTCCTTAGAATGGTGGCGCAGCATCATCACTGAGGCAACTTCATGCTGTGTGAACAAGTACACTGGCCACTTGGACTATGTGTTAGCAAAAATGAAGAGTCTATTTACCTTCCATTTGCTTTAGGCAACACCCTGGACAACGAAATGAACTTTCCATCAAAAACACATGAGAAACGGACATGTCCTACGGTGATAAAAGGACAGGTGTGTTCAACATTACAACCATGGGGAAACTGCTGCAAAGGACACCCATGAACTAAAGGACACAGCTTGACCAAGAACAAAGACATCATTCTCAAAGCTATTCCCTGTACTAAGGACACCCTAATCACAAACACGAAACCGCCCTCTTCTGTTCAATTATTAGAGGGGGTTCCACTGTGACTGGACCGAGATCATGGCAGAGTCCACAGCTAGCTGCATTCATCAGAGCAGCGAACATCGACATCCGTGATATCAGGTCACCTGATTCTCTGAAGGGTCTCCACCAATTCTCACTGCCAGATAGCCAACTCTGTAAGTGGGTGGTCAGAATCAGTCGAGCAGATGTTGTTCTTATAGTAGGATAATAGTTCTAACCAGTTATGGCGCATGACGTAAGGACCTTACCCAATGGAGTGTTCAAATCGATTGGTGATGCCCCAGGGAAGACATAGTAACAGCCACCTACGAATATTTTCACAATTACTTCGAGTCAAGTACCCAGGTACCCCACCGAGTTGCTTGATATAGCGGAAGTCTCTGGAACTGCGGAGTGGCTATATTGAACCTTGACCATCAGTGGATGAAGTTCAATGGGACCATGACAAAATGGGTCGTTGAATACCTGGTAAATGGGATCAATGATGAGAGAATTGTTCGAGCTATCGTTTTTTCTATTTCTTAGCTACTAAGATGCAGATTGTATACGTAGGCTACTGATTTGCAAACTCACAGACCCACCTGACCTCGAGCCGAGGGGCTCCTGCTTGGAAGAGAGCGCGTTCGGTAATGATCCCTCGGCAGGTTCACACCAAACCTATCACTGCGGTTTCACCCATATGTCCCTCGAAACGAGCCGTAGCGATGGAGCGAGGTTTCGTAGTCTCCACCATATAGTGCACGGGACGTGCGCACTCGCAAGCGTTTAGGGCTGCGCGGGGGCGTTTTTCGTCTTGCGCACGACCCCACGGTTATGAATAATATACGAGGAGCTCTGAGCCAGCACTCTTCATTCGACATGTTTTGTTTTTCCACAATTTAGACCCATAAATGAGTAGCCATGGTAGAGTGTTGTGATAGACCCGCTCATGTGCTACATAATGGAGAGATTCCTTGATCATCACAATTTCACAAAGGTTAGATATACCTGCATGTCGTTTGTTTTCTTGCTTAAAATGGTATGTTGACTGGCTGAGTCAAGCCTGGAAACTAAGACATCGTTCAGCAGCGAAACATTTTTAACGTAAACATCAGATGAGATTTTACACACACACATACTATCTACTATATAATTATAGCGTGATGGAGAATGATATTCATTGTTGTATTCGAGGCGCTCCTGGTGACAGTCGTCCCG